TACAACTTCCCTCTCTTTTCAATTTTGATATAGATGAGTTGATTAATTTGAATGATTTGCTCATATTTTTAGTTCATCAGATAGATTAATTGTTGTGTCACAAACACTGACGTCATCGGTTTTCAGGTTGCTTAACTCGCCGCAAATATTTTCATTAAAGGGGCCATTATGGGAGATTGGATAAAGAGTTGACAGTATTTGCTATATAATAGTCAAAAGATAGGTTGCCAGGCAACGAAACATACGCCCACAGCAGCTATATGTCACATATTTTTACTTTTTTCGGTAATGAAACATTTATAATACATTAAAATCTGATTAAGAGTAACAACTCATTAAGTAATTATCAGAAAACCATTAGAATTTGTTTGGTTTTTATAAAGTTCTGCCCCATGCTAACGTTTAGTATACAAAATTTTTAACATCATGGATTTAGCTGTTCAAGTCATAAAGATTCATTGAAAATCAATATACTTGTTCGTCTCAAGACCATAAACTCTGTGTATCAATCTGAAGTTAATCGCATGATAACTTTAGCCTCTAGAGCGTCACAAGATTTTCCAAAGTGATCATGGGCCATAACTTTGGCAGTAATTATCCGAAATCATGGAAAATCAATATGATTCTACCTCTCATGGCCTCAAACACTGTATAAATTTAAAGTCAATCGGATATTAACTTAACCTCTTAAGCGTTCACAAGACTTTTCAAAGTGATCAAGGGTTATAACTCTGGGAGTAATTATCGGAAATCACTGAAAATCAATAGGCTTCTTCGTCTCATGACCTTTAACATTGTGTATAAGTTTTAAGTCAATCAGATATTAACTTTGGCCTCTAGAGCATCCACAAGATTTTAGAAAGTGATCAAGGGTCATAACTCCATAGACGCACCATTGTGCATTTTATGAGACGCGATGAAAGACAATTAGTACAATCAAATAGGAAACAAACTGGCATATCTATATCAGAAGACATGACACAAGTCAATGTGAAATTACAATCAGCTGTACAAAAACACCCCCTTGTGAAATCAGCGTGGTTTTTCGAAATGGTAAGGTTCGAGCAGAGGGCCATAGTGGCAAAACTTGCCATGTTGAATTATACCCTGATGTAAATGATCAACTTATAAAGTATTTATCTAACTGAAGAAATCTTAAAAAACATGTGCAAAGCCAAATTCTGAATGTTGGTTCAAAGTATGGTCGTAATCTGTTAAATATACGAGAATAACCCGAATGTGTGTCTCAAAATTATACTACGCATGCAGATGTCTACCCCCACAGTCAATAAACTTAAAATCAAACTAACAGTTCAACTGCTGTGCACACTTCGATGTTCATAATTGGCTACCATATTTTTTGTCATCTACTCGCTTGTTTGAAGTACATGTAAAACCCATGGCAGCTATGATAGATGTGCAGATACTGTTATAATAATGCCTGTCGCTGTGTCCACAAACACTAAACTCTACAGACAATATGCAAATAGTGTAATGAAACGTGAATGACATGTTTATAACCCAAAGATCTTGGTTCCCCTTGATATTTGCGCATATCGGATCGTAACTTCCTGAATTATGACACTTGATCCGATATTGATAAAACTTTAAATTGATGTTGATATCACTATGATTTAGTCCTTTCGTTAATTGCATATATCTGAACGTAACTTCCTGTATTATAGCCTCTGATTGTTCGAAAAATTATGTTTTTAGCTTGTGTTCCCTCTAGAGGTCACAATTTTTATCCGATTTAAAAAACGATTGAATATATTACCGTTACACCCTAATGATGGTTGAGTTTGATCACATGAAAATTGGACCAAAACTGCCTGTATGCAAATAGTGTAAATATATGGTAGATCAAGGTTGTGGACTCTCTAGAAATCACAATTTTGATCTGATTTTGGTGAAAATTGAAATATATCTTTATAACCCAAAGATCTTAGTTCCTTTTGATATTCGTGCATATTGGATTGTAACTTCCTGAATTATGGCCCATGATTGTACGAAAAATCACGTTTTTTGCTTTTGGTCCATCAAAATTTTTATCCCATTTCGATGAAACTTAAATTATATCTTTATATCCCAAATCTCAGTCCCTCTCAATATTCGCACATTTGAGACCATAGCTTCCTGGATTATGGGCCCTAATTGTACGAAGTATATTGTTTGGCAACTGCTGGTTCTCTTTTCTATTTCAGTTATCAACTGGCACATTTTGATTCCACCAAACATAAGAATCAAATCCTAGTTCCCATAAAACCAAGACCAAAACTTCAAAAGTATAACTACAATAGAAACGTATATACACCACAACCCATAACATCTTTTTTGACTTTTTTAACTATGAAAAATAAAACTCGAAATCCCATTAATTAAATAACAAGACCAAACAACCAAACGGACAACCTGAAAAGTAGCAAATCAATCCCCGCTACAATAATTTAACAGTATTCCTTGTCGCAAGACCAGATGACATGACCAACTTGAGATAACCAACTTGTGAAGTACAAATTGATTTACGATTACTTTCTTTAAAAAGCTTTCTATCTGATTTAAATTGTTAAACATATAATTATATACTATTCAAAAAAAGTAGGGGATATTTGATTTTGGGGGCATAATACTAAATTATGCAAATGACTACAAAAAAAGTCACTATAGAACCTAACAGAAGAAACATTTCCAGTTACATGTGACGCCCAAACGCACCAATAGCTACCGCATGGAATGCAGGTGATGCTTGGGATCATCATGGGGGTCCAACCCAAGATTTGCACGACTCTGACTTTGAATGTTACAGTCATTGTGGCATTGAATTCCAGGGTGGAAACATCAGTTTAATTAATACACAAAAACACATACTTATGGAAAAACAGCTACTTATTTATTTGGGCGACGTTTCGAAGAGTATTCTCTCAACGTTATCAAGCTAATACAGTAATACAAGAATAATGAGATCAATATATACAGAAAACTGTAACAACAATTCATGAAACCATACAGGACAACAACAAGATCAAAGGGGTTTATTCTACAAAAACTAATTAAGTGTGAAGAGTAGCCATTGAGTATAGTTAAGCAATTAGGTAGCTATGATGATAGATACAATACTACCGGCAGAATGGGATAGTACCTACAATACAATTATGATATACCATGGTTTGTTTAGATAATGGTAATTAACTTTATATGTCTGTGTGATTAAATGTACAATTAGACTAGAGTAACCCATATGTGTAATAATTCTAAGAAATAGAGTGGATATAACTGATAAATTGATAATAATATTAGAAAAAATGAAAAATAATAAAACTCATAAAAATTCAAAGGTTTCTTATCCACTGTACTGTAGAATGAGTGGGGGTGATGGAAAACACAGAATTTAGGTATATTTAATAAGTTCATCATAAGCACTAGGCAGGAATATCCCTGTGTCGCGGTTGAGGTCTGGACTGTTTCTTTTAATGTGTATGGCCTCAATAATTTTGCAGGTTTTTTCTATCGGTAGGTTGGCCGCCAGGGTTCTATACGTTTTAATTCTGTGTCCTGGGTTTTCTGTATATATTGATCTCATTATTCTTGTATTACTGTATTAGCTTGATAACGTTGAGAGAATACTCTTCGAAACGTCGCCCAAATAAATAAGTAGCTGTTTTTCCATAAGTATGTGTTTTTGTGTATTGCTCTACCCAGTTACTAAATGCCTCTTAAAGATTATCAGTTTAATTGTTTTAGTGACCAGAAAACAAATTTTGATATGCGTCGGCTTACCCAAAATGAAAGGTTACGTGCCCTTGGCATGCTACAGATCGGCACAACACAGGCGGTTGTGGCGCGGACGATGAATGTTTCTCAGTCTGTCATAAGCAGGCTATGGTCCAGAAACCGTGATACACAATCTGTACAGGACAGACCACGCTCAGGTCGACCAAGGGCGACAACTCAAGCCCAGGATCGATTTATCCGTACCTTGGCCTTGAGAAATCGTGTCATCACAGCAAATCAGATCAGCGCTCGTCTTCAAACAGACACTGGTGTGAGAGTGAGTGGCCAGACGATTCGGAATCGACTGCATAGGGGTCACCTTCGCGCCCGACGTCCTCGCGTGATCCCTTGTTTGAGAGATCATCACATTCAGGCAAGACGTCGTTGGTGTAGGGATCGTCAACACTGGGATAATCGACGCTGGAGCAATGTGATGTTTTCAGATGAGTCAAGGTTCACTGTTGATTTTTTGGACAGACGTAAGAGGGTGTGGCGTCGTCGAAACGAGCGCTTCCAAGACGTTAACGTCATCAGACATGATCGATTTGGGGGTGGTACTGTTATGGTGTGGGGAGGCATCACTGTTGCTGGAAGAACGGCTTTACATGTTGTTGCGGGGTGTGTTACAGGCCAGTACTACCGGGACAACATCTTGGCAGTCCATGTTGTGCCGTTCGCACGACGTCATGGCCGCCGTTTCATCTTCCAGGATGACAACGCAAGATGTCACAGGGCCAGGATCGTTACAGGTTACCTCCAACAACAGAACATCACCACATTACCTTGGCCAGCACTGAGTCCCGACCTCTCCCCCATCGAGCATGTCTGGGACATGCTTGGACAGAGGTTACGTCAACGTCAACAACGTCCTGCCAATGTCCAAGAACTTGCTGCTACGTTGCAACAGGAATGGGACAATCTGGACCAAAATGACCTTAGACGTCTCATTAGGAGTATGCCACGTCGGATCAATGCTTGTTTGGCAAACAGAGGAGGATTTACCCGTTACTGACTTGGTTGTGATGCTGTGGTAACTTTGCTGTTTGACCCCGGGTATCATTTTACCCTTATAATGGTCAGTCTGTGCCTTACTTAGTCTAACGATCATTTGGAATAAATCGATGAATGTGAACTTCATTTCATTTTGTCATTTGTTTCTTCGTCAGTTTCATTAGGTGACTTTAATAACACTTAAAAATCAAATATCCCCTACTTTTTTTGAATAGTATATTACAGACGATGGCTTCATGGTAGTTGTTCTGTGGGTAAGCAACATTTGTTTAAATAAAAGATCTTCACCATATTACAATATATTCGTCAAACTACATAGAAAAAGTTCCCGTCCTATATCTGGCTACTCTGACCTATGACACAGGTCTAGTCCAATGTTACTGACATTTGTAAATATAACCATTCAACACCAATGAATTTGTCAATTGATACGCATATTGATTTGAGTTTAGGAAAAGAGTTAACGCTAATATTAATTCATGGGATTTTATTTTCAAATTACGCTATGGGAGACAAGAAGTTTATGATATAATAGAGGTCCACACGTTATTATTTATCTTATACTGGGCCTGTCTTTATATTTTGGCTTGTTGTTGTATAAGCTTGGCTTGTGCACCAGATTCGTTTGTAAATATCATGTGATGTTTTCCATGATGTATTATTGGTTTTTTTTGGTTGAAAGTTATAGACAAGGAGAGTAATTAAATTGGGATATATTAATATGGCATCGACTAATCCCACATCTCTTTTAGGCAACTAATATTTTTGTTTTTTGGGTTGGTTTTTTTTTTGGGGGGGGGGGTGCACGTTTTTCGCTGCATTTGCTTGCTATGTAAGGGGTGCTATATTTAATATATTCTGATATTTTCTTTATCTTAGATTTTTAATGCCGTTAACGTAAATTGCAAATTTCTCATGAGTCCAGTAAAGATAACCTTGTATAACGTGTTTCTATGATAAACTTAGATGTATTGTTGATAGTGGGGTCTAGAGAGTTTACGGATACAGGTGAGTTAGATTTTAATATTCTTTGGTAATATAAGACAAAAGACAAAAGTAAACAGATTGTGTGAACAGATTCTAATTTGGAACAATTCTATTTCACAGAATTGTTATTGTAAGTTTGATAGAAAACAAATAAAGGGTTTAGCCAGATTCAACTAAACATAAATATATTTTTTTCCTTAAAAATAGTGACGGCGCCAGTTAAAGTACATAAACTGTAATTGGATGCAGTCTGGAAATTTAGAATGTACAGAACGTGAAACTGAATAATCCTCCTCTCTTACATGATCGTGGGGACGCAGAGCATATTATACATGGAGGTATTGTACAGTCAATGCAATTGATGAGGTAAGCATTAATATCAATATTTTCTATTTCTAAAACAAAATCGCAAGTGTTATTACGGTAATATAAAATTTCAAACATTATGTTTTATTTAGAACTTAAAATGTCGTACAGTATAACGTAACACGATGAACCGAAATGGTAGTGGTATTTCAAAGAAATGTTTTTTTTTATAAGCAATATTTTATTCAGATCTGTATCTGAATAGGGATTGGGGAACAGGCATAGCCTATATTAAACCCCTCTCCCTGTCAGATATAGATACATGTATTTACATTTTAGATATTAATAATCAATGTACACGTGCAAGTATGATTATAGTGAGAATATATTTACAATGATGAGTGTTTATAGTTGTCCCTGGAACCGTCTGGTGATTTCGAAAAACGAATGGACAGTTTTAAAAATATTGAGTGAGTCTTCCACGTCGTCAATTCCGTACAATAAAACAGTGTTTCGATGAATAGTCGATAAATTATTTATTGTTTTATTTCGGGCATCTGAACATAAGGAGCATTTCAATAAAAAATGTTCGGTGTCTTCAAATTGGTGTCCACAATTAGAAATTTCACGAATGAGGGTAGCTGATTGTGTTAAAAGAGTTCAAATATATTACATATTGTGTATGTCTAATAATTCACTATTGGATCCTTATTTTAGAACATTTAAAAACCATACATACTTGCTAATTACAACTTCTCTAGTTCCTCTAGGCTGCAAGTTTGTCTTTGGCTGTTGAAATGTGTCTATTAGCATGCCAAGATAGTGCCCGATGTTATAAACACAAAATATATAATCGTATATTTTACAGGACCACAACAATGTTAAGGCGCCGAATGATCAATACGATGATGATTACCACGGTTATAGGACACAGACAGGGGAGGTATTAATAGCATTTATTTATAAATAATTCAAATTAAAGTCCATGCGATATGCTTAATTACATAATATGGTGGTCTTTGAATCAAATTATACATATTGACTGAGACATTCGTGGAAATAGAAATTACGCCTTCAGAACTGTAACATTTCAACTGAACGTATCACTTGGTCGCCATAGGTACATTCAATGGTAGTTCTTAGATGAATTTACTGTGAACAAATCATACTTCAGCTGCAAGATGAGATTTTCTATAGTCGCAAAACAATACAGCATGAAGTTAGGAAACGTCTGTTGGTAGTTTTCGAAAACTTTTCAGATTTGCTGAAATATTAATCGTGTTGTACAGATGGGCAGATTTTCAACTATGTCCTTTTTAAAAGGAAATTGTTCATGTGGACCATTTAATTGTCACATTTTACCTTTTTTCCAGCTGTGACTTGGATGGATGTCAAGCGGCCGTTTATGGTTCCAGGAACTCGACTGGGAAATGGAACATTAACAGGGAAATTCTAGATTGGCAATAGCAGGTTTATGTATGTACTGCATGTACTATATATATTTTCTAAATTTTCATGGGTCTGTCTAACACACGTAGGTACAGTAAAGAACATTATGTTGACAAGTTTGAAACACATTTTAAAATAGGGACCCCTTGAAAACATTGACTTTTAGTTAGGCTTGGGGTGTAAAACTACTTGAGGGACCGAGTCCATCTGTTATGCCGAGACTAACATGTCATAACTTCATCAACAAAGATCACAACAAATATGTTTATCTCTATCGGGAGAAAACATACCGACGTTCAGATGGGATGGACAGTTTCTTCATATATACACAAAATAAACACCATAACTTCATCAACAAAGATCACACCAAATATGTTTATCTCTATCGGGAGAAAACATACCGACGGTCAGATGGGACGGACAGTTTCTTCATACATTCACAAAATAAACACCATAACTTCATCAACAAAGATCACACCAAATATGTTTATCTCTATCGGGAGAAAACACACCGACGGTCAGATGGGACAGACAGTTTCTTCATACATACACAAAATAAACACCTTCTCCTGTCCGTACAGTTTCTTCATACATAGATATAGGCAGTTTGCTTCGTTTCTTTGGAACATAACATTTGGGGTTGTTTCATCCTGCAGTTTAAACCGATATCCTCACTAAAAGTCTATCAAATCACTTCTCTATGTAAAGGTGTTTCCAAGACTTGTTAGCTAATGTTTCTATACTGTAACATTTTGATTCAAATGTTGATGGGGTTCGTTTGCAATTTGGATTTAACTATTGTTATATATCGCCAATGGTCATCAATTTATCTAAATAAGCTTGTTATTGCCAAACTAGTATTTTTCTAATGAAGTTGTCTACAGATATCTATTGTTTTTATTTTTCATTTATATTATATGCATTATTATGTTTAATTACAATGTAAGGTCAGCAGTGAGTAAACACTTCCGATAGATTCTCAATACTGACCACTGATGTCAGAAACGCCTACAAAGATCAAAATGTTTAATATGGGGTAACATAATACTTTATAAGGACCTTAGGTCAACATTCAAAATTTTTCATTGTCTATACTTGGACATAAAACTTTATGGATTCTTCATGATGTCAAATTACAACTCTTTCAAAATTTCGACCGAGCAACAGGATTTTTTTGTTAAAAGATGTTATCTTTTCATATTTTTATTGTTTTCGAGGGGAGGTTTTTATTAAGGTTTATTTCTGTAATTCACTTATATTACTCAAATAATTACCTTAGAATAATATCTTTAAAGACTGTAGGCTTTTCTGACAGAATATTTAATGTTTTTTGGAAACAAATATTCACATATAATGTGTATTATTGTGTTTGTCGTTGGTAACTGAATACGCCATTAGAAATAACCATTTCGAAATTACAATTTGTTCGAAACTTTCGACAAACCAACGTGATTTTTTTTGTTTTCATCTAAATAAGCTTTGTTATTGCCAAACTAGTATTTTTCTAATGAAGTCGTCTACAGACGTCTGCTGTTATTATTTTTCATTTATATTATGTGCGTGATTATGTTTATTAAAATGTAAGGTCAGCAGTGAGTAAACACTTCCGGTTGATCAGAGCACTTGGGAAAATCCTACCTCCCCCTTCCTAAATGGGAGTTAGGGTTGGGTAGCCGGCTCTCAACACAGACCACTCATGTCATAAACGCCTACAAAGATCAGAATGTTTAATTTTGGGTAACATAATACTTTATATGGACGTTAGGTCTGTAATTCTCTTATATTACTCAAATAATTGCCTTAGAATAATATCTTTAAAGACTGTAGGCTTTCCTGACAGAATATTTAATGTTTTTTCGATATTATTATGTGCATTATTGTGTTTGTAGGATTTTTGTCAGACGCATAAGATGTTTTAATTTATATTTATATTTCACTGATATTACTCTTGGGACAATATCATCGACATATGATTTTTCTTTATTATAATCATAATGATTATCTTATGTTAAATTAATACTCATTATATAGGTTGTGTGTTTTTTGTACTCCCATATTAAACATTATTTTTTTTTTTTTACGCCCATTATTTTATGCCTGTAGGTCTGTAATGCTACATGTCAAACTTCTAAATTTTCAATTTTTCTAAACTTGGTACAAACCTTTATGGGAATTTGAACGGGGTAAAAAATATTTCGAAAGTTTCTGCATACCAAAATGATTTGAAGGTGGGGGGGGGGATCCTGACCGCCAGACCATCATGCAATAGGTCAACATTCTAAATTTTCTATTTTTCTAAACTTGGAACATAAACCTTTATGGGAATTAGAATGGGTCAAAATTATTTCGAAATTTTCGACATACCAACATGTAGTAGTGGGTGCGGGGTGGATATGATTTTAGGAGCAACCGCATTTCATAGCTTTTAAAATATTGTTTAATATGGACCAATTGATAATTTAAAAGATTATATTATTGTTTGTTAATCAATTAATTGCTGATAGATGTAGTTAAAAATCATTTAGAAATAAAATATTTCACCATCGCTGTGTTTTGAATCTGATAGGGTGGCGGAACACCAGCCTTTTAATTTTGCTGCGAAATGTTTAACACGGCGGTGGTAGATGAAAAATAGCTCTGAAATCAATGTTCAGGGAAGTGACGATTATCATGGAAGAAACATGAGGCATCTTATTAATTTGAGATAACAATTTCACAGGTTACAAGTTTTGTTTAGCTTTATCGGCCCCTCAGATGCTATAGGTGTAGGTTCCCCTCGGCCCATTTTGTTACACTGTTTCATCTATTGCACGAAAAAGCGTTGAACCCTCGTCAGGTTAATCAACGAAGCCCTTGTTGGGTTAATCAATGAAATTAATATAAGAGAGAAGTGGGGCTTTAACGTCAACTCGTCACAGACTAGGTCATTTCCTGACTAACATGTGGTTCAAATGTATTTAAATAATTTGTTTGTGCATATTGGTCTTGAGCCGTGGGGAGAGAATCCACCAGTGGCAAGTCGAAAACAAATTGATCACATGACTGACCTTATCTAACGCGCACGCCCCCCCCCCCCAACCTCCTCAGAGAATTAAAGGATAATATTGGTGTCGGTCATTATCACATGTTATAGAACTGGTTAAACACGTTCCAAATATTATTTTATCACAGATCACTACGATAGATGAGTAATGAAGGATTCAACAAACGGAAGTGACGAACGCAAAAGGTAAACACGAGTTATCCCTCTATATAACTGACCGAAGTGATGAGTGAAAACAAATACACGGGCGAATTTTTGCTCACTAATAATTCCTTCAAAGACCAAAAGTTGTGTGAGACTGAGAGGAAACCCGACATTTCAAAAAAGTAATTGAATGTCACTAGATAAGAGAACGCAAGAAAAATAGAAATAGTCCGTACATTCCCTTGTTTTTATTCATTCTATACATGGAAATGAACAGACTTTTTCTATTTCTGGATTTAATTAAACTGCCTTTTCATTTCGAATTGTCGATTTTGGCAAATTACGAAAAACTAATAGCTTGTGTTTCAATATTAGCTTATAACAAAATGAAAGGAAATGGGGTTTAACGTCCTACCGATCTGCACCAACTGGGCTTATGAAGACGGACATACGTCATAAAGTGTGCTATGAGGGGCATGTTACCAACATATGTACAAGGGATCTCGGGTTTTCTTCCCAACCACGCCTGGAAATCCGATGAAATTTTTCAGCCAATCCCATGATCGAACACTGAACCTAACTCACAGAGCCGCCGCGGGCCCCCGGCCGATAACGAAAAACAAGCAGCTCGTTCTAGATACGGCGATAAATAGTTGAATCTGTAAACCTTTAAATCTTTGTGTTCCGTTATTCAAATCAATTGAAATGGGATTTAACGTCCTATATATTTTGTTTCCGCGGAAATATTGGTTGTTTTTTTTTGTTTTAAATCCCATTGAATCTATGCCGTGACATAATCTAGCGTTGGTATTTTAATTTTGTTTTCTTAATTAAATGTTAAATAATCTAAGTACATATTGGTGTGGATTAAGTCATGAGAAATTTGATATTTTAGCGCAAAATGCAAATAATGCACTGTCGAGTTGAAAAGTAAAGGCGGAAAATGGTTGAAACCACGTTCAATCAACTACGGCTGGTACAGATTAATATGAAATCTTACGGTTCAGTTCATTTTATTAGATGTCCACTTAAACAAGTTTGTTTCCTTAAATCGGTATTCAAAGGCTCTATTTTACATATACTTGGCTACCGTATTTTTCGGTGTATAAGGCGCATGCGTAGATAAGGCGCAGGGCGACTTTGGCAGAGGTGTTTCAGGAAAAAAAAAATATGCGTGGTTTAGGCGCACCCTTTCCCAGCGCGTGTGAAACTCGTGCCATAGCATATGTGACTCAAATCCACCTGCGATCTCCAGTAACTAGGTCAAACTCTATTGTTTACAGTTATAATAATTACCGATATTTACCCACAACAAACATGGCCGTCTATTACATCGTGTTAAATTCGTGAGTAATTGTCTGTGATAAATGAATCGGTTTTGATGATAAACAAATTAAATAATACCTGTAGAAATAATATATCATGATCAGTTACTCACAACTTAAATCCTGACTACCGGTAAAAGAGAAACAACAATTCCAGTTTACTCCAAGTTATGCAAACAACTGACAATCAAACGATAGCGTCTGTTGCCCCGCCCACTCCACGCGTCATGACAATACCCAGATTGTAGCCATTTAGATCTATCAGTAAAATAATACAATAGCATTTTTAATACCAATCAAAAAAACAATGATTTTGTCAACTACAAACAACTTCATAAAGAAAACGGTAACAACTCACTGGTAGATAATTAACTATACCGGTAAAATAATACAATAGCATTTTTAATACCAATCAAAGAAACAATGATTTTGTCAACTACAAACGACTTCATAAAGAAAACGATAACAACTCACTGGTAGATAATTAACTATACCGGTAAATTATAACAATGGGCCAATCACTGAATCCATGTTGAATGAAAACCGTCGGTAACTTAAAACGGTTACTAAAAGACAGTCTTGCTCAAAACCTGTTTGTTTTTATTATATGTTTTTATTATACTTGTGTTAATTTTTTATGTCATTAAAATATATTTTAGTCGATGGCTTAAATTTGTTCTGTTCTTCGATATATTCTGCCAGTTTAACTGTAATCCCGCCCATTAACGCTGTCATTGTAACAGACAATACCCATAGCCTATGGTATAATGAGCGTGTGCTCAATGGAAATTACCCTTCTAATAGCCAATGAAAACTCTTTGTCTGTCGAAAGCCCCGCCTTTTCGTCAACTTGACTGATATCACCGTTGACGACACACTGTTTGGATTGCCGACAATGGCTAACTGTACCGGTAAACGGATTAGCAGAAATATATGTCATCAAATACGCAGGAATAATAGAAATATTAACGAGAATTTTGCAGATATTGTTAGCACTGTCGTTTATGACTAACGGTATACGGAAAAGCCGGAATAATAGAAATATGACTAACGGGATACGGAAAAGCCGATACCGTATCTTAAATGGCCGCCATATTTATTGCACGAGAAAAGACGACATCGGAATGTCGGAATAGCAGAAAAATATGTCATCTAATTAT